ACCAAGGGCAACAGATTACAGGTCAAGCACCAAGCCTGGTCTGTTTGTTTACAGCCCTCCAGCGAAGAATGGTTTTTACATCTTAAAAGTTTACTTTTTAAATGGTTATATGAATACCTACATAATAGTCTCTTGTTTCCAGTCCTCAAAGCCTAAAAAATTTACTCTTTGACCCTTTAAGAAAAAGTTTTCCAACCCTTAATGTGGACCAATGATATTTATCCCTTGGGTCTGGGGCAGAGCCCACCTTCCCTGAGTAGGTTATTGGCGATAAGAAAATGTTTTTATCTCATATAACAGTAAGTATAAAGATAATAGGAGCTTCAAGGTTGGTTCATTCAACAGCTCAAATAGGTTATCAAGGTATTTGTTTCTGTCCCTTCGGGGCAATAGAGCAGCAGCAATTCCAGACACCACATTCGGATAGAACAATATCCTCCGAAGAAGATAGGCCATCTCCTCCTATGACTTTCTTTTAGGAATGAGAAAACTTCTTCCAGACACTTCCCTACCAGACATCCCTTCTCACCTCAGAGGCTCCAACTGGTTTAGTCCTGCCTATCCAGGAATAAATAAATTATAGGAAGAGTGGTTAGAATTATCATGGTTGGCTTGGATCAATCTTCTGGGGTGGGGCCCCAGAACACCTGTGATGGGTCAGCCACAGTGCTGGCTATTGTCAGCTCTGCCAGCTGCCTGGTTCTGGAGCATTCTTCTGTCTTCTGCTTCTCTTGCTGCCTAAAAACCATTGTTCATCAGTTTACTGTGGTTCCTCCATGGCCCTAAATATGTGAGTAGATTTGTGACCTTCAGGACAGGCTAAGCCTGACAACCTGAAGGCTTTGGCCTAATGTGTTAAAAATCGAGAGATTTCATGTAAAAACTTAGATATCTGATTTCTCTTTTAAAAAACTGGAACATCTGGCAACATCAGGCTAGAATTCCCTTGGAGCATCTGTAACTAAATAGTGTTATGGCTGACACTGACAACTCTTTTACCCATTCTCTGTGCCTTCCTGAAGTCACCAGACTTTATTCTGGATGAGCATGTACCCAGCTAAAAAGCTACATTTCCCATCTTCCCTTGCAGCTAAAGGTAGACAATGAAACATAAGAAGTCTGTTGCGGGGTAGGGCAGGGAAAGTCTTGCTTTCCAGATACAGGTCTTACCCTTCATCCATATTGCTTCCTCTACTTTCCTTCCTGGAACATGACTGTGAAGGCTGGTGGAGTGGCAGCCATCTTTTGACTATAAGGGAGCGGCCAGGTGAATTACAGAGATATTATGCTTCCTTCTTTGAGTTACTGAACTTAAGCCAGCAATGTATTATGAAAGAAAGATAAACTATAATTTGTTTAAACCACTGTTTAGTTGGGTTTTCTGTAATTTGTAGTTGCATGTGTTCCTAACTGATACAAGCAGCTGCTCCTTAAGGCAGGGTGTACGTGCTCCAGTTTGCTACAGTTTCTACCACCTCATATTATCTTAGAGCTGGCCCACTTTATTCTTTTATGCCACCTGCCTGGTCACAATTTGCAATGCCTAGTATGTATGTATGTATGTATGAGCTATGTATATGTATATGTATATGTGTGTATGTATGTATGTGTTTGTGTGTATATATATATAATTTTTTCATGGTCATAGCTGTGTAAATTTCCTGAAGGCCTGAGGGCAAGTGAAGGGAATGAAAACTCAGAGATGCTGACACAAGGTCCCAGATGCAGCTGCTCCCAGAACTCATCAGCCCAAGCTCTGCATCGGAGTTCCTTGCTCCAGCTCACTGACAAACTTTCTATTCATCACTCCAAGCGCTTAACCTCCCTCATCTCAATTCCAGGACAGGAACTGGGCCATTCTGCCATTTGGCCTTGTCGAGTATGTGCACTTCACGTCCGATTTCTTTCACTCAAATGCCAACACCCTTTATTAACAGCAACTATTTTGTAATACCTCCTTTACAATCCTGAAGTGAAATTCATCAATGATGTAATCCTTTACCCTTACTTCTTTTAAATCAATATGATGCCCTAACGGTAATATAAAGGAGAGATAAAGGGAAGTTATTTATAGTAAAATTATATGTGTTTCAATATGTGAATGTTCTGGCCTGACTCACCAATACTAGAGCCAGGAAATTCTTCTGCACAGGGCCTGAGAGGAAATATTTTGGCTTTGCAGGCTGCATGGTCTGTGATGCAACTACTCCACTCTGCCTTCTTAGCAGGAAAGCAGCCATAGACAATGCAGATGGCTCTGTACCAATAGAACTCTGTTCGTAAAAACAGGCAGTGGGCCAGATTTGGCCCAGGGCCTTAGTTTGCAGACCCCTGGTCTAAAAGATGCATTCAGAGGCCAGTATTATTGATATGCAGAATCACTGAAGATTCCATGCTGTAGACTGATTGGGGCTTGTTGTATTCACAACTCAAAGAACATGACCCAGATTGTGCCAGTAACATGATTTCCAAAACAGCAGCCAACTCTTGGTAAAATTCCAAGTAAATCAGCAAACATCTCTTGATTTATACAGTGACTACATTCCTGGATAATTAAGTGTCTATTAGGACTGAATGAAAAATACTGTGTATGTAAAAGTTTGATTCTTGGTACAGAAAATTATAGAGAGGTTTTTCACCTGCCAAACATTCAGAGGGGCACTGCAAAGTCACAAGGGATGGGGGACAATTCTTGGATGTCTGGTGATGGCTGAGATGTTGCAGGGGTGTGACATCTCATCATCTGCCAATTAAGTGCCTCTAGTGTCCTCATCATTGCAAGAATGAGTAAAGTAAAAACAAGGTCACAGAAGGCTTCTTGGAGGAGCATGCCATTTCTGCTGGAAACCAAGGGTTTAGGGTTAGGTGAAATTTTCACCCACAGATGAGTGAAATTTACATGCACTGGTGAGAGTAAAAACTCTATAAATTGCCTCATTTTACCCCAAACTGGCTAAGATTAAATTGAATTGAGCATACACCCAAGAGAGAAATTAAATTCCAGGAAAAGAAAGAACACTGCAGTTTTTGTTTTAGCACACTTGAGTTAGTGAGCTGTTGCATTTGTAGTCATACAGATATTAACACAGCTGGGTTTTCTCCCTCTCTCTTTTTTCCCCCCAGATTGTTCAGATGGAAAAAAAAATTATAAACCAAAAACAAATCTTTGCAAAAATGCAGGAGGCCAATAACCCTCGGAAACTGCAAAAACAGATCCACATTTTGGAAACCCGCTTGAATCTCGTATGTAAGGTGTTCTCTGCAGCTCTGGAAATAGCTCTGCCTCCCTTTGCTAAGAGGGATGTCTGTGAGACCATTAGCAGAACATACCCATTTCATTGGTTGACTCAGGAGAAGGTGAACTGATGGTGGGCACACGGGCCAGGCAGCTGTTTAGACTTACCACCCACTTGTGTCCACCCACTCTTATCGCGCTGTGGCCTGAGGAGCCTTTCTCCTTCTCGATCGCCACACCTTAGCACATGTTCTTGTCCCCCCAACCACTCCTGGGATGCCTGTTCGTACTCCCCTGCTTCAAAAACTCCTGCTTGCTTTCAAGAAGCAGCTCAAATATGACCCTTCATCAGGCAGAATATTAGACTCTTCTCCCCTATGTCAATCTGCTCATGCTTCTCCTAGAGCCAGTGCTTCTTGATGGCAGTTGTTTGTGTCTCTAAGAAATTAGGCATGAACATGCATAACCTGGTAAAGAGAAAACTGGTGTTTCCTGATCACCTTCAATTTACAACGACTTTAGCATTAAGCAGGATTCTCTATATTGCAAACTGGCTTAAGCCAAAAAAAAATAAGGAAATTTATTCATGATAGAATTGGAAAAATTCAGAGGGATAAGTTGAGCCTCAGGCATCGCTGGATCTAGGTGCTTCAAACATGTCTTTAGGACACTTTCTCCATTGCTCCTCTGAGTGGATTTCATTCTTGGGCTGTCCACAACATGAACAAGCATGGTAGGCAAGCGTCTCTTTCCTAAGGGTTCAATCACAAGTCCCAGCGAGGGTTTCCATTGGGCGAACTTGGGTCATGTGCTCACCCCTGAAATTGATCATTGTGATTGGAAGAATGGAGCACCTGGATTTAAGTCACATAAATGTCCTTGTACCACCCACCTCAAGTCAGGGGAGGGCAGTCCTATCTAACTGTGTGGACTGAGAGTTGGGGAGAAGTGGTTCTCCTGGAAAAGCAAAAAGAAGGGGAGAAGGAATGCTGGGCAAGTACACACCACACATTCCAGTCTGACTTGTGAAATTGTCACTCTTACAACACGAGCCAGGAGAGGAGAGTACATTGATTAGGAGGAAAGCCTTACTATTACTAAGAGGAAAGCTCTTTCCCAGAACTCTGACTACCAGGCTTTAACCAGCCATGGTTGAAGCTAACTGGACCTGACCTCTCTCTGCATTCCCTCAGTAGCCTGAAAGCTGCCCGAGGGCAGGGCCATGTCTTTTAGATATCCAGATACAGTGATATGCAGCCATGCCTAGGATGTGTGTTAAAATGCAGTTTCCTGCGTCTTCTCCAAATTCACTGAATCAGAACTTCCAGGGCTTGGCCCCAGGCATCTGCACTTTCTTAACAACTCCAGTGAGGCTGAAGTCCCCTTGATTTAAGAATCATGATGCCTGGCACAGTGTGAGGCTCAGAGTGGTGCTCAGCAAGCATCTGTTGATTGAATGAATTAATAAATGCATGCATGCTTTCATGATGACTTGTCCACAGAGGTCTGCTTTTTTTGACAGGTCTGTTCAGATTTTCTGTTTCTTCCTGAGTCAGTTCAGTAGTTTGTTTCTTTCTAGGAATTTGTCCATTTCATCTAAGTTATCTTAATTTGTTGGTATATAGTTTTTCCTACTATATTCCTTTATAATTCTTATTTCTGTAAGGTCCATAGTAATGTCCCCTCTTTCATTTCTAAGCGGTCTGCTTTTTTTTTTTTTTATCTCAGACTGGTCCCCTTTCTCCTCTTCCCTGACCAGGTCTGGCTGTGCCTCTTAGCTGATTAGGGAGCTGTCTCTAAAGGTTATTTCAGGGTTCCAGAATATGCCGTGATCTAAGACTTGGCTGATTGTTCCCTCATGGTGTCACTTAGCTTGTTCTTCTCTCCCTTGTAATTGCTGAAAACTAGAAGTTAGGCATAAAACCAGTTGATAAACTTGAAATCCAGGATAAAAGAACTTGTCAAAGGCCACTTAGCTAATTGGTGGCCAACTCAAGCCTCTCACCCCGCCTGCAACCATTGCTCTGTGGGTGTGCGGTGGGAGGTGAGGGGAAGACCTTTCAACCCTCTGGCTGCCTTCTGGAAGCTTGACTCATGCCCCCAGAGTGGGCCTTGTTGTGAAGCACTGCCCCCCTTATAGGTCACTGTACACTTTGACAAGTTGCTGACCACCAACGCTAAGCTCCGGAAGGAGATTGAGGACCTGCAGTATGAGAAGGCTGCTTATGACAACGTCTACCAGCAGCTCCATCGGCGCCTGTTGATGCAGAAGAAAACAATGAATGTGGCCATTGAGCAGTCTGCGCAGGCCTACGACCAGAGGTGGGCTCAGGGGAGACCCTGGGGCAACAATGTCTCTCAGCCCCCTGCTGAGCTTTCTGCTCTGGGCCACCTCTACCCCCTGTGCTTATGTCCTCGGGAACCTTAAATCATCATCATACTAACTCTGGGCATTGATTGTGTGTCTGCCAGGCATGGTGCTAGATGCTCTGGGTAGTATTTCAACCCTCACAACAGCCCTAGGAGTTATTATCCCCATTTTACAGACCAGGAAATGGAGGCTTAAAGATGCTGAAATACTGACCTGAGATTCAGGTAAATGGCAGATATGATGGAGATGAGATTCAAACCCCTACACTCTGCCATCTCCTCCAGGTGCCCCTGCCTCTAGCCCAAGGGCCCTCTCAGTCAGGACTATCTCCTGCCTTCACACCCAGAGGGGCAAGAGGCATACAGTTTAGCTGTGATGAGTACACATTTTGGAGTCAGAGAGATCTAGGTTTGAATACTGGCCCCATCACTACCACATTGTTGTAGGACCTCTTTGGGTGGTAGTGAGGAGTAAATGATATATGTACATAAGGGAGTGTCCGGGACAGTATTTGACAAGTGGTGATGCTGATGGTAATCGTGATGATGGTGATGGTGGTGATGACAGTGATGAAAATGGTGATGGTGGTGATGGTGATGGGAAACCACTTCCTGGGGGTGGTCTAGAGCTGTCAGCTCCTGTCGTTCAGGTAAGGAGGGATGTTCCTCCACTCCCAGAAATGTCATGATTAAAAGAAGTGATGGTCGTTGACCAGGCAGGAAGTCCGTCTGGACTGGTAGGGAGAGGTGGGGAGAGGGGAGGGGAAGGAAGGAGCCTCTGGACACTCAGCCTCTTGTCCCACCTGCCCAGGCTGGAAGCCATGGCTCGAATGGCGGCCATGAAGGACCGCCAGCAGAAGGACATCTCTCAGTACAACCTGGAGATCCGAGAGCTGGAGCGTCTCTATGCTCACAAAACCAAGCTCAAGTCCTTCCTGCTCATCAAGCTGAATGATCGCACTGAGTTTGAGGAACAGGCCGAAGAGGAAGAAGGTAACACGGTCCAGGTTCTCTTTCTCTCTCTCTCAACTGACAGTGCCCAAGTCTCCTGTTAGTAGGGTCACCAAATTCAGCAAATCAAAATACAAGACGCCTAGTTAAAAATTTCAGATAAACAATAAAATTATAGTCCCGTGCAGTCGTTTGAGACATACTTATACTAAAAAATTATTTGTGCTTTATTTACAATTGGGACATATTTATACCTTTAAAAATATATTGTTCATCTGAAATTCAAATTTAACTGGGTGCCTTGTGTTTCATCTGCCACTCGAAACCTGTAGAATGTATCCTCACTTTGTGGCTCTGCTTCCATTGTTTAGAGGAGGAACTCGTGTGTCAGGGTCCCCAAGACCTCCCCCAGGTTTGGTGATTCTCTAGGAGGACCCACAGGACCCAGCATGTGGTTGCACACATGGCTGTGATGTAGCGACACAGAAAAATCGGCAAAGATGAAAGGTGCGTGCGGTGAAATCTAAAGGAAACCGGCCCAAGCTTCTGGGCTCTTCTCCCAGGGGAGTCACGTAAGACACGCTTAGTTCCTCCAGCATCCACTTACGACAGCACATGTGAAGAGCTGTCTGCCTGGGAGCTCATTAGAGACTCGGTGCCCAAGATTCCTACTGGGGCTGGTCACGTACGCATCCTGTCCCTAGCACACACCACAATTCCAGCCTCCCAGAAGGAAGGCAGGTGTTCGGCGTAAGCCACACCATCTGTACAGTCTAGGCACAGCAGCCACTCTGACCATCTATGGACAGTTTTATGTCAGTATAGGGAACTGTTTACCATTTAAGGTCTCAGATGAAGGCCAAGGGCCAGCCTTGCAAGCAGCCCTTTCTAAGGGGAGAGCTGTCTCAGGGCTGCTATGTTAACTCTCTCCTGAACAGATCAAAAGATCTGAGCTCTTTAGAGAGCCCCTCTGTGCAGCTGCATTTGGTCTCTGTTCTTTCAGCCCCTTCTGTCTCTTCCTGCCTTATCATTTGAGACTGTATGGTTAGAAGTGTGTTTCTAAGAAACCCCAACTGTCACTCTCGAACATAACAAAAACCACCTTTGGATCTTCTGTCCACTTATCCCTCCATCCTTCCATCCTCCACCCATCCATCTCTCCATCCCTTCATCCTCCATCCACCCATCCTTCCATCCTCCATCCATCCATTCATTCATCCTTCCATCCTTCACCCATCCATCCTTCCATCCTCTACCCATCCATCTCTCCACCCTCCATCCTCCATCTACCAATTCATCCATCCTTCCATCCTTTTATTGAGCCACAGGCTCATGCCAGCTTCCATTCTCCGCGTTTGGCATGCATGAGTTCCATTTAGCCCTCACAATATCTCCAAAAGGCAGACATTATTATTAATACCCCCAGTTGACAGGTGAGGACATTGCAGCTCAGAGTGGGTACATGGATACAGCCAAGGTCTTCTGCAATGTAAGTAACAGATCCAGGATTCCATCCCTAATGTGTTTGTCCCCCAATGCCTGAGGTCCCTACTACCATCCTCTTCTTTATCCTAATCCACTGAGCAGCCTCAAGATTCCACTAAGCATCGAAGACCCAAACTGTGGAGTCAGTCAGGAGTTCCTCTCATTCTCTGCCACCCGGGTTGAATCATGCATCCATCTTTCCTCTTCTCACTGGCTCAGGCCTGTCATCTCCCCCATCACATTCCCTCTAGCAGCTCCATTGTCTCTCCCAGCCTCCAGGCTCCTCCTGTTTCAAACAGCTCTGCCTGTGACTCTGCAGGGGTATGTTCTTCAGGATCAGTTACTTCCTTCCTTCATCCATCCAGCTGATGCATTCCTGGTCTTCCAACACATTTTAATGATTGCCTACCCTGAAGTGGGCACCATGTTGGGGACCGGAGATGCAGTAGTGACCAAGACAATGTTAAGCGCTGATGTCATGGAGTTTACGTTCCTCATGTGGAGACAGAAAAAACAAGCAAATAGACAAATACAAACACTTCAAGTTGTAATAGAACCTTTGAAGGAAGAAAACAAGCGGTTGAGATGGAAAGGTAACTGGGGGACCTCTCTTGGATAGGGGGGCCGAGGAGGGTCTCTGAGGAGGAGGTGTTCAGGCTGTGATCTAAAGGATGAAAAAAATCCAGTTGTGAGGGTGAGGAATCCAGGCAGAAACAAAGGCCCAGAGGCAGGAATGTGCTTAGTGGAGCACAGAGGCGAAACTGGAGAAAACTCTGAAGGTTCTGTCTGAAGGCAGAGGCTACTCCTGCAGGACTGACTGTGTGCCAGGAACCAGGCTGTGTGTCGGGAGACAGCAGGGAATAAGACAGAGATCCTGCCCTCCTGGAGCTGACCTCCCGTCAGGGAAGACAACAAATAGGCAAATGCAGACTTTGATCTCTTAGGAGCCCGTGAGCGTGATGAAGAAAACAGAACAGGGTAATTGACAGAGTGACCAGGGGCTGCTTTATCTAGGTGGTCAGGGTGGGTCTCTCGGAGGAGGTGACATTTGGGTAGAGACTTGAATGACACAAGGGAACCAGCCAAGTGGAGTCCTGGGAGAAGCGCATCCCAGGCAGAGGGAACTGGAAATGCAAAGGCCCTGAGGTGGGAGTGAGGTTGGCATCTTTCTAGAACAGAGAGGAGGCCAATGTGGCTGGAATCAGTTGATGCCAGCAGGAGAGTAGTAGGAGATGAGATTGGAGTTGGTGAAGGAGTCAGATCACAGAGGCCCTTCTAGGCTGCACAGGGGAGCTCGGCATTGATTCTAAGTGTGGTGAGAAGTCAACAGAGGATTTAGGCAGAGTGGTGACTGCCTCTGACAGTGATGAGGCACTGAGGGGTAGAGGGGACCAGATCTTAAATGATGCCGAGAAACTTCAGCTTCATCCCAAGGACAGTGGGGAGCCACACACCCCTTCTTAGGGGTGCCTAAGAAGACCTAGAGGGACCCTTCTGATCACCATGTGGAGGCCAAATCAGAGAGACAAGACTGGGTTCAGGAGAAGTGGGGCTGTTGCATGTAACAGGCTGGAGAGCAAGTCTTGGAGACCTTTCTTGATTCTAATTCCTTGAATTTGCCAAGCTCTGAGCCTGCCTAAGACCCTCTGCCAACAGGGCTTCCTTGGCCCTCATCCTGCTCATTTTTTCACCTCCTTGGAGAAGCCTCCCCTGGCCACCCAACTCCCCCCACCCCCTCCCCATCACAGCACCTTTTACATCTCCTCCATTGCAGGGGCCACAATGGTAATTACTGGATTTCTTTTTCTTACTTGGATGTCTCTTTTTCTTTTCTCTTTGTGGCCAATTCCTCCACACAAGCTCCGTAGGACAGGGATGTTGTATCCACAGAGCCCAGTGCAGTGTCTGGCACGTAGCAGACGCTCAGTTAGATATTTGTGAAACAGCGAAAGAGGGAGGCTCCTGCCCGCCCCGTCTCTGGGAAAGTCGAGCCCCTCCCGGAGGTGCAGTGATAACGATGCGGGCGCATCCCGCCGCCTGGCGCATCCCTTCGCCTGGCGCTGCTCTTAGCAGCTCTCCTTTCCGACGCATCGTTGTGGTTCCTCCTTTTCTAGCTCTCAAGACAAAGCAGCAAGGGAAGAAGAACAAGAACGAGAGTTTTGAGAGCTACGAGGTGGCTCACCTCCGGCTGCTGAAGCTGACGAAGAATGGGAACCTGAATCAGCTCATCGAGGAGTTTCTGGCCAAGGAGGAGAAGAACTTCGCTCGGTTCACGTATGTCACGGAGCTCAACAATGACATGGAGATGATGCACAAGAAGACGGAGAGGATCCAGGTCGGGGCACTTCTTCTCTCCCAGACAGGGGCCCAGCCATTCCCACAGCAGCCTTCCCCACAGCGGGATCCTCAGACCACTCCTTGAGATGCTCTGTAGGAAAAAGGGCCTCGAGTCAGATCAGTCTGGGAAACACCGTGTTCACCCAGGGTTCTCCCCCGCCGACATTTTAACCTTCCTGAAATCGGTATTTGTCTTTCAATGGATACATAGACTTAATGTGTTCATGGCCCCTCACCCCCAGTAAGTGACATTCAGAATCCACGGTACATTTTATAATCCAGAGTTTAGTAAACTATAGCCATCACCAGATATGGCCTTTGGCCTGACTTTGTATAACCCATGAGCTAAGAATGGTTTCTCACATTTTTAAAGGGTTATAAGAAAAAGAGAAGCGTATGCAAGGCAGACCGTCTGTAGCCTGCAAAGCCCGAAATAGCAACTATTTGGCCCTTTGCCTTAAAAGCTTGCTGACCTCTGTTAATCAACAGTTTCACAGAATTGAGGAGAGATGGTCAATGGATCTTGGAGAGACTTAAGATACATGAGCACAGTCAAGGCTCTGACAAGTCCTGCAGTAAAGAACCCGTTTACCTTTGCTGAACCTGTAATTTCCCAAACTTAATTGGCTCCCTGGGGCTACTTACTCCCCTGGACACACATAAACAGCCTTTGGGACTGTCTGCACAGGAGAGAGTCTAAACTCCTTGGTGTGACACTCTAGTCCCTTCAAAATTTGGCTGCAACCTGCCCCTTGCAGCTCAGTTCCCATCACAACCCCCAGGGCACTCTCGGCAGCTGCCCATCCCAACTGCCCCTGCATTTCCCTCCGCTAAGGCCCCCTCACCCCCTGCTTTTCTTTAGAAATACTGCTGATTAGTCCTGACCCTGCACAAATGTCACCTCCTCTGGGAATTCATTGCACTTCCCTCTGAGGTCCCTGCTCTCTGTTTATATGACAAGGGGAGACACTTCCTTTTGCAGTGTCACTGCTTCCTGAGTGTGGGGCCGTGGCCAAGTCCACAGTAGCTAGAATACAGGTGAAAACATTTTAATTTACTAGTGATGAACTAATTTTTTTTTAATAGAGGCACTGGGGATTGAGGGATTGAACCCAGGACCTTGTGCCTGCTAAGCACGGGCTCTACTGCTGAGCTATACCCTCCCCCGGTGATGAACTACTTTTAATAAGGATTAGGAAAAATATAGCCTGCAGAGCATGGTGAGTCAATGGAGATGATTCCTTAGGGGTGATAAGCAATAACAGTAAACAAATAATGATAAACGTAATAATAATGTGGTCAATTTGAAGAAACTAATAGATGATAATAGTGATAGTAATAGCGCAGGTGGCACATAGAAATGGAGGTGGTCCTGTCAGGGCTGTCACGGCAAACAGATGGCACTTCCAAAATGGGTAAATTGAGGGATTTTTTAAAAGGGCCAATTTACAGAAGCCTAAGGAAATTAAGAAGGGAGAGTGCAGAACAGCACAGCTGAGCTCCAGAACCAGTGAGTGGAGGGAGGAGTGTCTGGAATCAGGAGACAGCGGTGTGGAGAAGGCTGTCTGTGTGTCTTTCCTGGAGGCATGTGGCCAAACTAGTGACCTGCCAAGAGGGGGGACAAGTATGCGTACGCACACCCTCACCCTCCCTCCACTGTCCAGTCTCCAGCTGGCGTCTCCCACTGGCTGGGTCCAAGCCCAGCTGGAGGGCAGAGGGGAGAGGAGCTTCTGCCTCTGCCTCTCTTCTGGAAGCCCGTCTTCAGAGGACGGGCACCCTCTTGTATACCCGCTGCCTTCCCAAAGCCCAGGACGGCCCTGCACACACACAGTGGAAGGCACCAGGAAATGGCTCCCCAACGGTAGCTGACCTTGACCTTCCCTGTCACCTGGAGGGAACCCTCCTTTCTGCTTTAGCCGCACAGCCTGTCTCTGGTGTGAGGACAAGCGTGTCTGAGGAAAGATGGCCAGACTCCCGCCCTCTCTGGGCTCCAGTCTCCCCATCTGCAGAATGACATCCTTGGACTGGAGCAGTAGTTTCCAAACTTTTATTAAAAAGCTACAGGACTTTTTGTTTAAACCCAGGTTATGGGGTGACACCAGCTTATAAAACAGATGAAATGGAGCGGCCCTGGGTGAAGGGGGTGGGGGTGGGGAGGGATAGGTGATTGGAGGGGGTGCCTGGGACCTTATATTTTGCCTTCTTGGGACACCTCTGCTCAAATTAGGATAAAGGTTTTGTTTTGTTTTGTTTAAGTTAAAAGCAATTAGAATTCTAATATCTGACTTCTCCCACCCTAGAGAGGTGGGGTTGGAGGCCCTAAACTGGATGAATGCAGCCTTCATTCTTCTGTTGCTTGGTCTTCCTCATACCCAAATTTTAAAATTGGTTAGTTGCCAACATTTTAAAAATCAGGTCATTCCACGTGAAAATGGATTTCTGGTTTCTCTTGGAAAATCAGATCTGATAACTCCGGCCCACTTTACCGCGGGCAGCTGAGTGCGGCTGCCCCTTTAAGCCAGTCAGGCCACGCTCGCCCTCACCCGCCGCTGAGACCCGCTGGGTCTGATTCGCTTCTCAGAGGCCAAGTGGTCTGAGGCCGGCGGAGCCCTGCTGGCCTTTGGGTTTGCGATCCCTTCTTTAGGCGTCTCACCACTACCCTCTGTTGGCAACCTTCAGTATTTCTTTCTTCAGCAGGAAAGATTTTCGAAGGTCAAAAGACCGGAAGGAAGAGGATGGAAGGATTGGTTCATTTGGGACCTGGGAGTGGACAGGATCCTGAATGCTCATTTTCCAGGGGGGAGCACCTTACTAATCCCAGTGCGATGACAGAGAACAGCTAGAGCAGAGGGATGCGAGCACGTCAGTCAGAAAGTGACCCGACTGGGGAATGTTTCCTGAAGTGAATTGGCCTTGATCTGTCTCATTCACCTTGGCGGTGCCCTCTCTTAGCTACACAGCCTGCCTCTGGCGTTAGGACGAGTGTGTCTGATGAAGGATGGACGAGTACCTGCCTCCTCTGGGCTTCAGTTTCCCCATCTTTAGAATGCTGTTTGGACCAGAATAGTAGCTTTTGAGTTCTCTCTCTCTCTTTTTTTAATTGAAGTACAGTTGATTTACGATGTTGTGTTAGTTCATTATACTTATGCTTCTTTTTTTTCAGATTCTTTTTAATTATAGGCTGAGCTCTTTTTTTAAGTTGCAGAACTGTGGGAGAATGTAATTCAGAAATATATAAAGAAAAGGTACAGGTAACTAAAATATCACCACTTGGAGATAATGTCCATTAATGTTCTGGTGACATTGCTTATGAAGACAGTGTGTCCCCAAGCATGTGCCTGCACACACACACACACACACACATACACCCAGATGCCCATTTATAGTACTGGGATTATAATAAGAAGTTCATGCTGTTTTGTAAACATTTTTTTCCCAACAATTCATCATAGACACCTGCCAACATCCTCTGTGTTCTTTTTAGTGGTTTCTGGGGACCCTGATGGTCTGTAGTGGTACCACAAAATGCTTGTCAAACAGCTGATTATTTCGGGCCCTATTCCATACCTACAACACCTAGGTGCGCTGAGAACAGGCCAGGAACCTGCATTTAAACCATATTTTTATTTGAGACTCTTTCCGCCTGTGACATAAATGTACCATCATTTATTTAACCAATCCCCTACCAGTAGACATTTGGTCTGTCCCTAATGGGGTGGGGAGCATTATAAATAATAACACAAAAGACAACCTTGAGTGGCCCCCTTTGCCCACGTGTCCCACTATTTCCGAAGGACAGATTCCTAGAGATGAAATTGCCGCATCAAAAGGTGTGTGCCTTTTAAATTTGACATACTCTTCTAGCCCAGGAGTTCTCAAGCCTGGTCCCTGGACCAGCAGCAGCAGCATCTCCTGGGAACTTGTGAGAAATGCAGATTCTTGGGCCCCACCCAGACCTCCTGGATCAGCATCTCTGGGGTGGGCCCCATCCATCTGTGTTTTCACAAACCCCCAGGCGATTCTGATTCATGCCAACGTTTGAGAACCTCTGCTCTGGAGCTGCCTATCCATTATGGTGGCCACCAGGCACGTGGGAGGAGATTTACGTTTAATTTAAATTAAATTTAAAAATTCATTCATTAGTGGAAATAGGCACATTGCAAGTGCTCCATGCCCACGTGTGGCTGGTGGCTATAGTCCTGGACGATGCAGATAGGACATTGCTGCCATTCCAGCAAATTCTATTGACTATAGACAGTTCCCCAGAAGGGAAGAACCACCTACCCTCTGCTGCCCTCATCCTCCTTTTAATTAAGAATCATCAAAAAAAAAATCATCAGAAAGAACCTTCATGGGCATAAGAGAGGCCTGGGGGTTCTGGGGCTCCTCGAAATGGGTCATTTAAGTTCTCATCACCTCCTGGAGGCAATGGCACGTTTCTAGGTGTGGCAGGGAGGGGAGCACTCACTTTTCCTTATGGTCTGGTTCTCTCCTGAGCAGAATGAGATCATCCAGTTGCGATCCCAGCAGAAATCATCCCATGATGACAACCGCTCCATCCTGACGGAGCTGGAGGTAAGACCACGGTGGGGAGGGAGGGAGGAAGGGAGGCACAAGGGAGTCACTGTTGCCTGTCAGGCCACCTGTCAGTTGATTCTCAGGAGGAGCAGGATACCTGCCCCGTGACTACTGACCTGGGTCATGTCTTGACATGTCCTGACGCTTTGTCACAGGCAGCCTCTGCTATAGATGGTGCTGCAGAATTTTGTCCGTCAGGGCCTTCTTAGTCCATTTTTAAAGACTCCACCACTTCAGGAAGCCTATCCCAGGCCCTTGTGCCTATAGATCATCCTAGACTAGCAAATTCCAGATAGATCTCTGCTTCAGTCTTTTCTTCTCTCTCCCCCTTTTCCTGGCTGTGGCCTGTTCTCAATCAATAATAGTAATTACAAACACTTCTTGAGCAACTACTATAGACCAGGCACTGGGCTAAGTGGTTTGTTTGCACTGTCTCACTGAAAGCCCACAACAGCCCTATGAAATAAGTGCTGTGATCTCTCCATTTGACAGATGAGGAAACTGAGGTTTAGAGAGGTAAAGCCCAACATCATGGAGCTGGGATACTATATGAGCTTTGCATTGTATTCAGCTGCTAATAACAGTGACCCAAAATAACAGTGGCCAAAGCAAGAAAGAAGTTTCTCTACTTTGTTAAAACATGAGTCTGGAGATAAGCACTTCAAGGCTGGTCATGACATCATCAGTAGCCCAGGCTCCTCCTTTCTGTTTTGCCATCTTTAGTGTGTGGCTTAGATTCCCAAGGATGCCTCCGGGTTGTATAATGGCTGCCAATGGTCCAGCCATCACAGATACATTCCAAGCAGGAACAAAGTGAAAAAAGGCCTTACTAACTGAGTTAGCCAGCTTAAAAGGTCTTATGACTTCTGTATTTACATCTCACTGGCCATCCCTATTGCAAAGCAGGGTTGGAAATACAACTTTTATCTGGCACCAAATACAGTCAGCGTTTTGTTACTAAGGCTTAAGGGGAGAATGGATAGCAAATGTCTGACAAAGACATAAGCCCAGAGAGCTTGACTACAAAGCCCTGTTCTAATCCAGTAGTTCCTGGCCCAGGAACTGCACTCCCCGGTCACATCCCTTCTTTTCTCTGTGACTTATTTCTGTTCTTGGCATGCAGATGATCAACAGGGATGGTGGTGCCATTCTCTGGTTGGCCACTGGAGGGCAGCAAAGCACAAGCTACCCATTGAGCCTCTCTGGCTCAGCCACCTCTCTGGCTCAGCCACCTCTCCCAGGACCCAGGACTGAGGAATATAGACTCTTGGCAGGGTTCAAGTCCAGGGAGACCCTCCCCAGGCTAGACACATGCCTGGGGTCCCATATTCTCAGCTCAAGGCCATCCAGCATCCAAATGCTTTCTTCGATTGGGACTGGTGCTGCTCTGCATCTCAGGGTTTTGAAAGCCTAAAGAGGGACACAGCTTGGGGAGGCCAACCAGGCAACTGCCAGCATCTCCCCCACCTCTGCCTGAAGTCTGCCAGAAGCTCTTTGTTCCTTTGGCTTTAGCATGAATCCTAGAGGCCTCTTTTCAAATGCAAATACTCTAAGGGAATTTAATTGTAATCATGAGAGCCCACTTTTCTTACCCCCTGCTAAAGGTCACTTCTGCCTCCTCTGTTCTTGGAACCTTTCCACTCATCTTCCATTTCACCATCCCCTCTGGGAGAAGTGGTGGGATCGGCGGTGGGATTAACGGGAGAGTTTTGCACAGGAGTTAAGCAATCAGGCCTTGGGAACAAACGCTTGGGTATGACTCTCAGAAGTGTTGCTGCCTAGCTGTGTGACTTTGACAAAGTGACTTAACCTCTCTGAGCCTCAGTTTTGTCACCTACAATATGGGGATAATAATTGACTCACTTTGTAGGACTGTGAAGTTTGAATAAAATCATGCATTACACGCATGGCACCCTGCAGGGCAGAGCTGTAAATGCAGCTATAATTATTGTTGCTGTTTTCCACAGAAGTCAGTAAAGCCTCAAATTACCATCTCCTTATTACTAAATAATTGCCCGAGTAGAGTTGAGCCCAAGGTCAGGTATTTAGACAACTCAGGGGGGCTGAATACAACTTCACTTTTCTTCTCTGACCTCAAATATTCGTCATCTGAAAACTGGGGCCGTTGTGAGCAGTTAAGATGATGTGTATAAAGTGGCTGGAGCATTTTAGGTGCCAGATGTGTGTTATTAACATGACATTAGGCTTTTAAACCTAATTACCTCCTCCCCCTACCCCCCCCCCCAAAAAAAACAAGCTATGGAGAGGTCATCCCCATGCTTTGTGAAGCTGCAAGAGGAGCAAGAAATGGGTAATACTTAGAGTTTAAGTATTACAGATGTCACTTCTGATGATGAACGGTCAAAAAAAAACCCCACATCAGGCTTTAATAATTTTTTTTAAGCATGTGATCTTCTAGTGCACCTTTAGAAGGAGAGGGCAGCTCTTGCTGTCATATGAGGAGATGCAGCCCTGGGAACTGAATATTCCAGTGGCTGGGACAGAGGAAGCTGCCTGGTGGTGGTTGAGAGACATTACAAATCATGGCTTCCCGCTCCTGGCTGTGTTCCTCAGAGCCTCAGTTTCCTCACCTGGAAAATGTGGGTGTGGAGAGGGCCCTTTGGGATCCTTATTTGGGATGGCACAGAGCCTGTGTGGATGGGGCTGGTCCTTTCAGGGCTCAGGTCACCTTTGCAAGCTGAGAACTCAGAGGGAGAGGCAGCGGTTGAAGCCCTCATCCCCGAGCAGCGATGCTCGGGCTGGGCTGCAAGTCAGAATCTCCTTGGAGGCTTTCAAATTCCCGATGCCCAGGCTGCATCCCAGACCAAGATGTCTGAATCTCTGAGGCTGGGGTCTGGGCAGCAAATAGTTTAACGCTCCCAGGTGATACCAATGTGAAGCCCAAATCACAGAGGGTTCTCATACTTTATCATGAGTCAGAATCACCTGGAGGTTCACTAAAACACAGGTTGCTGGGCCCACCCCCAGAGCCCTGGTTCAATCAGTCTGGACTGGAGCCCAAGAATTTGCATTTCTAACAAGCCCACCCCACTCCCCTGTGAAGCTGATGCTGCTGGTCCTGGGCACCCACTTTGAGAACCACTGGGCTCTAGCAATATGATTTAAACTGGTGAAACTGGTTTGTTGGATTGCAACCAGCATTTAAAAATAACAAGACAGAACAGAACAGAACAGCATAGAATATATTAGAACACACAAAAAGAAAATCGATTTGTGAACTTTAATTTCATTTGATTAGATAAATACACACATGTATGTGTGCATGTACTAGGCGGCAATGTAAAATGTGTTTCTCCTCCTGTGGACCACAATTTTTAAAAAATGAGTCACCAGCTTTCTGAAAACACTGTAATCCAGTACACATGTAGACACATCTGCACGTGTATAAGTGAAACAAAACTTACATTAAGCAGTATTTACCCTCACTACCTGCAATGCATCCTAGTATTTTCTCTTCCTTTTCTGTTCTATTTTATTTCATTTTTTTAAAATGTAGGTTGAAGCCCATTAAATTCATCTTGCACTCCCATTAGAGGTTTGAAAACCGGCAGCTTGGAGACCCTGGCCCCAGAGGGTCCCAAGCCCTCCTCGTCCCACTGAAAGTCCTCATAGTGGGCTGAGGCCAGGGTGGCGGCCGGGCTGACCTGGATGGGAACTGGGGTCTGCCACCAGGAGAAGCTAAAGAAGACCAAGGAGGAGGCAGATTTGTACGAAAACAACTACAAGGAGATCAGCAAGACCTTGGAGTATCTCAAGAACTCAGTGGAGAATCTGTTTAAGAAGATAGATTGTGATGCCACCAAGATCCTGGTGCAGTTAGGGGAGACGGGGGAAATCACAGATACCAACCTCCCGCAGTACTTCGGTGAGTTACGCTGGCGCCCACTAGACTCTTAGCGATGATTTCCAGGGCTCCCTGTGACAAGGCACGAGGACTTGTGCCAGTAGGAGGTAGTGAGCCTGGTGGTGAAGCATGTGGGCACTAAAGCTGGCCTGCTTGGGTTTAAATCTTGGTTCTATTCTTGTTAGCTGTGTGACTTTGGGCAACTTTCTGAACCTCTCTGTGCTTCCATTTTTTTTCATCAAAAAAAAAAAAAAAAGAGGGGTAAACCCAGAATCTACCTCATGACGTTTTTGGGGGGTGTTAAATAAATGAGTAGTTCTTAGGGGAAAACCACATGATCATCTCAATAGATGCAGAAGAGGTATTTGACAAAATTCAACATCCACTCATGATAAAAACTCCCAACAAGCTAGAACTAGAAGGAAACTTTCTTACCTGATAAAGGGCATCTGTAAAAACAGCTACAGCTAATCTCATACTTAATGGTGAAAAAACAATGCTTTTCTTCCAAGACCAGGAACAAGGCAAGGATGCCTGCTCTTATAGCTCCTCTTCAGTATTGTGTTGGTGGTCCTAGCTAACGCAATAAGGCAATAAAAACAGACGAAAGGCATACAGACTGGAAAGGAAGAAATAAAGTGCTCAAAGCAATGCCTGGCATGTAGCAAATGCCTGTTAACTGTAACACACATTTCCAGGCATAGTTCTTGAGCTCAGGATAGAGGGGCAGGATGCACCTACAGAGATCACGGCAATTTAAGATGAAAGACTTCCACTGTTCTTAGAATGAAACCTAAGGTTCTTAACACAATCTGTGTTTGGGAGAGTCCCAGGACCTCCTGCCCACCAGTTTCGGCGATTCACTTGGCAGGCTCACGGGTTCAGCAGAGAGTCATATCATGGCTATGATTTGTTACAGCAGGATACAAAGCAAAATCAGCAAAGGAAAAGGGGGCATGGGGTGAAGTCTGGAGGAACCCAGCAGAAAGCTTCCAGGGGTTCTCCCCCGGGGGTGGGGGTGGGGGTCACACAGGATGCGCTTGGTTCCCCCAGCAATGGGTTGTGACAACGTTAGTGAAGTGGTGTCAGTCGGGGAGGCTCATGAGGTACTCATTGCCCAGTGCTTGGGCTGCGTGAGGCACAGTGGGAAGGACAGCTCCCTCAAACTCAGGGAAAGCATTGAGGAAAAAAACAAATCAGCCGTTTGAGGTGGAGCTTGCCCATGGCTCCACCAATTTTTAGTAGAACCCAGTGTTTCTCAGTCTTCTTTTCATGATTGCCCCCTAAGGAACCGTTTAGACGCTCTTCCTACCTGCCCCTCCTCGCGGAATTTTAATACTGTCGATATACACCATACAACTGTTTATGTCCTGTATGCATATCTGTGCCTTGTCCACTAAAGAGATTGTTCTGCTCAAGAACCAAGTTGTGCCCCCTGTGGGAGATACTGCCCTCTTTGCAAACGCGCATTGTAACCCAAGAGAAAGCCCTTGTTCTTACAGGATCTCAGGACCCGCCCCCGCTCCCTGTCCTTCCCTTCCTCTCCAGCAGGGGGCGCCACGTTTCGCTCCCCCGGGACCCGGGGCTGTTGGCAGCCGTCTTGGTTCTGCTTGTTTTTTTCCAGCCATCATTGAAAAGAAGACCAATGACCTGCTGCTGTTAGAATCCTACAAGCGGATCCTGGATATGCAAGTGGCAGAGGCCGATATCCCGCCACCCTTCATCAACCCCTTCTGGGGCGGCTCCGCCCTCCTCAAGCTTGCAGAACCCATCAAGGTCACCCCCCCGGTGCTCGGGGCTGACCCCTTTAGTGACAAGTTGGATGAAGGTGAGTTCTCTTTCTTCCCGGATCTGCGCAAGTTGCTAGGAAGCGTGTGCAGGAGAGGGTCCGCGGTGTCAAGCCTCAGTTTCCCCTTCTTTCTGAGCCTCCTGGGCCCATCACTTCCACTGGGTAACACCTCGGTTGTCGCCAAATGGATATGTTACTGAACCAGGTTTCGTTTTTCGCGATGTGTGGCAAGCCAGATGCTGAGATGCCGAGGTTTGCAGCACAGAGAAGGGTTATTCGTGAGGTAGCCAAGCAAGGAGAGGAGGTGGGAGAACAAATCTCAACTCCTGCCTCCCCGAAAGCAAGGCGCTCGGGGTACTTACAGAATAAAGAGAAAAAGAAGGGTGGTCCGCGGCGTGGGGAGCGTGGGGAGCAGTGATTGGGAAAAGGTGCGGTGATCATTCGTCTGTGCGCTGGCTTAACTCAGCTACGGTGCTCTGCACGTTCAAGAGGTCACCGAGTCACCCTCGTGCATGGCCAGTTGAAGGGTCACTGTTCATCCAGTGTTAACCAGCCTAGCTGGAGCTAGACATTGCTGACTCTTGGCTCAGCTGAAGTGGATGCAGCTGACTCCAAGTTCTTGGGAAACAGCTCAGGCAGATATCTTATTGTCTAGGCTACCTGCAGTTTGGAGAACAACCCAGTCTTTTGCAGCAATAATTAAAGCGACCTTGATTAGTGAAGGCACGTTACAGGTGAAATGGATTTAACTAAAGATTAGCCACAGTTTCAGTTACACACCTTGAGCCTATAGTCTTTCTTGTGGAGGTGGGTCCTTCAGAGAAAAATTTATTCGAGGGTCAAAGGTGAAAGTGGGAGGATGGTGGAACTGGAAACAACTGAAATGCTCACCCAATAGAGTGGTTAAATAAGTTATAGTTCACCCATCCATGGATGGAATACTATGCAACCATTAAAAAGAATGCAATAGGGTGTTATAAACTGACACACGTATGTATGGCATGTAGTGGCCAGGAATGCTGCTAAAAATCCTGCAATGCACAGGACAGCCCTTCACAACCCTGCTATTTAAGAGTGGGGTGGGGAGAAGAGGAAGGAGGAGGAGGAGAAGAAAGAGGAGGAAGGGAGGGTGGGAAGGAGGACAGTATCCTGATTATACATATAAAATGAGGAGGATGTGTAGGCTGACTTACGGTGGGTATTTCTGGAAGGTGGTTTGCAGAGAACTTTGCATTTCTAAGTTAAACAACCTGTATTGTTTAGAATTTTCTTTTACAATGACCTTGCGTGACTTTGGTATTTGGAGAAAAAAAAATTTTATTTTTTTAAAAAGCAGCCCCACTTCTCTGAGCAGTATTTCAAGTGTGCAGGTGTGCCAATGTGTGCACAGATAGACAGGCAGGTGCACACCGCTTGTTTGTTTTATTCAAGGCAACTGAAACTTAGCAGGAGTGAAAGCTGGGGCTGGTGTCAGCCACCTTAGCACAGCTTCCCCTGGCCCTTCATGTTCCTAAAAGAGGAGAGTGGCAGGGCATAGCTGTTGCTAACGCTATCCTCACAAGGTCAGGGACGTACAGATGATGTCTTCACTTCTGTTCAACGGAATGTTGATAAACACTGGGTTCTCTTAGCCCACTAGCCTCTGTGGCTTATAGGCGTGAATTAGAAGAGGCACCCACTCTGGGCAGATTAATTAGGAAAAGGAGTCCCTGCTGGGTGGGCATGGCTTCGCAATCAAGTGGAGGGATGGATTTCAGCCCTGTTTTTACCAGGTGTCTTTGTGCAGTCTACATCTTGGTCAACTGCACACAATGGCCTTGTCTCCTTGGTATCAAACCAAACTCAGCTTCACATCTTCATCTGAGAGAAAAAAACAGTTATTGTCTGGGCATCCTTGAGCAGTACATCTCCACCTATCCTCTCCCTCCCTGAACTTAGAGAATGGTCACACTCCAAACCCCAGCACTGTGGAGGGGTACCTTACAAAGCTTGGACATCCTTGAATAAGGCAGAGGGGCAGTGTCCCTAGGAAGAAACCCCCCCCACCCCACCCCCCACCGCCTCCTCCACCTGCTGTGTTGGGTTTGATTTCCAAACTCCTCACACAAATCCTGTCTTTGGCACAGTGGACCAGCCCCTGGACCACAGCAGCCTTCGGCAGCTGGTGCTCAGCCATCATACTGCAAAAGAGTCTCGAAACAGGGAAGTACACGTGGAGAGTGTGCCTGAAAAAGGGGACGATCTGAGGCCCAAGAAGAAGTTAATGGTCTGAGACGGTTGGGGCCACATTTATACCATAACCAGGGAGAATAAATGTTTTGTTCTGTAACCCCAGTGCCTTTTCACACTCATTACTAAGAAACTTGGGTGATGGAGCCACCCCAGGAGAGGGTAGAGGCAGAAGTGTTGAGTTCCAAAGCTGGCACAGGGGGCAGGAGTGATGTGAGGTCACCATGGCCCTCAAGAATCCCTGAGATGGTGACCAGCAGAGGTCACCCCTCACCATGGCCCACCAGGTAAAGCGTAGGGGCTGCGTGGGAGCCAAAATACTGATCACACCCCAGAACCATACGGGATGTAGCAGATGCTCATAGGTGGGACCCGGGAACCACGGAGATCCTGAGTCTGTATCTGTGTGTGTGTGTGTGTGTGTCTCATGCATGAATGTGTCTGTAGGGCTGTGTCCAGAGCCTCTTAACCTGAAACACAAACTCCACTTGAGGGCCCTGAGCTGGGTCCTCTCCCAGGCCTGGCTGCGTGTCTGCAGGAGTCCCAAATCACAGGTTTTGGATGCGAGAGGCATGGATCGTCACAGGGTGTGGATCATAGCAGGCCATCACGGGGTTGGGGGCACCCCAAGTCCCTGCCTGCCCAGCTTGCTGTTGGCTTTGAAAGGGATTCCATTTCCCAGCAGTCAAGAGTGATGTTGTTGGTCGTACAGATAGAGCTGACCCTGAACTCCCCCTGCAGGGGCTCTGTGGTTATTCTTGAGCCTGGAAGACTCGCTTCAGGTCTGGCTTCTCCAACCCCCAGACCTCCTCGTTCCCTCTAGGTGACCCCAGCTGTCACTCTCACCCCCAATTTCAGCTCTATCTCCAACACATCATTCGCTTTGGCTGTGTCTTGGGTTCTTGGGATGCTCTTAAGAACTTAGAGTACCGACATCCACTCCATATTCTTCCTGAAAGGCTTCTGGATTTTCCTCTGGGGAACGGCCCCTCTCACCCTCTGGCCACATGGTTTGGAAAGAACTGATTTCAACCCAGGTGCGAGGGTTAATATCATGACCAGGTCTGCCAATCAGAGCACTGCACTTGTTTCAGAGTTGGTTCAGGAGTCCCACGGGCCCTGTTCTGTTACTTGTGTGGATCTGGGAGAGAGAGGCACCCTCTTTCCACTGGGATTGCTGAGGGGATAGACAGGAGCCAGGAGCTGCTGGTAACCATTCTGCCACCACTGAGAGCAGAGCAGCATGAGAGGAAGCGAAGCAGCGGAGAGTCCTCCTCAGGTTCAGACGGCACTGTTTGAGCTCCTGGATGTAGCTATGCCTGAAGCCCTTGGACTTCTCAGTTATGTGAACCCATTTGTCTCCTAAGTTGGGATTCTTGCAGCCAAAACAGACCTCAGTGCTTCAACAATGACTTTGATCACTCAAAATCAAGAGTCAACTCACACCTAGGCCTAGTTCTTAGACCCTGGGCAGGGACAGAAATCAGTACCTGTATGCATCTGTATCCCTCCCCCTATTTGCCAGGATAGGAATACAGACAGCTTCTACTTTATCTGAAATTAGAAATTAACCTCCTACAATTCATGATTGTGATTTTTTTTTTTGCCAAATAAGCCATATTCTTAGCGTGCATGTGAGGCTTCCTCTTCTTAGCTTGTCCTGGGGCCTGTCTAAGCGCACCTAGGGGAGAAACATTCCAGTGATGTCCTAAGGGAAAGGGTGGCGTGGAAACTAGGCTCTACCAGTGCTTGAACTCTTTGGAAGAAAGAGTTGTGGTCCTTTAGTTAACATTCCAGTACAATTTGGCCCTTGATAGAAATAGTCCTGAGTGGCTGTGAAGGTCTATTTTAAATAAAGAGTGACTAAGATTCAACAATGACAGCAGGGCCATTACTGGCTCAGACACCACCTTCATGGGAACTAGCAAAGGGTCTTCCTTACTCAAGGCTGTCTGTCAGAGAAACACCATAAACAAATAGATGACGTCTGTTTATTTGAACATGACCTCTGGATGGATTTCCATCTGTAGGCTATGTGGCCACATGGTATCTATAAGGCATCCAGGCTGCAAAGAAGATGGAGGTGGATAAATGAGGCAGCCACACAACCCACAGGCCAGGGGCAGGGGTGGCGGCATTACTGGGCAAAGCAAGAGGAGGGCAGGGATGCCCCTGCAACCTACCCAAAGGCAAGCCCAGGGCTGGGCAGGGAGCCCCCGCTTAGTCCTTCTCTTCTCCGTGGGTGATGATATGCACGAGGTTCTTGTAGTCCAGGTTGCCAGTTACATCAGGGGGGAAGGCGGCGAACATCTGTTCAATCTGCAACGAACCAGCAACATGTGCTGAGGACAAGGTGGAGGGGCAGTGGGAGGGAGGGCTGCATGCCGGGCAGGCCTGAGTGCAGGGCGGCCGGGGGCGTGGAGGACACGGGGTGTGGTGGACATCTCCCTCTGTGCCCTCCTGTTTCCTTGACTGTCCTTGCTCTTCCACGGGTGCCGACCCCAAGGGCCACCCTGCAGGGATGTTCCTGGGAGCTCAAGCTGTGATGAGGAAGCTAGGCTTGCAAACTCAGGTGTGCAAATGGGCAGGGCAGGTTATGGCAGGGAGCAGGATAGGCCTGGTGGGGCCTGTGACTAAATGGAGACATAGTCCATCTATAGAGGTGGCAGCTGCTCAGGGCCAGCCAAATGAGGCCATGTGGGCAAGGAGGTCAGACTCTGGGAAATTTGATTCTTTGAGGAAAACTGGAAATCTAACATTTTTTAACAGGCAGTTTCCACATTTAAAAAGTATTGACTAATTATTTTAAAACGTGGGTAACACTTAGATTGCCTTATCACATGTCAGCATTTTATGCATGAGAACTCACCTAATTCTCACAGTGTACTATGAGGTAGACTCTGTTATTGCCCCCACTTTACAGATGGGAAAATTGAGGCACAGTGAGGTTAAGGAGCTTGTCCAAAGTCACAAAGCTGGTGGGAGTGGAAAGTCAGGCTCTTTCAACTGATTGAGTTTGAGGGGAAAATCTAAATAAAATTTTTAGTAAAATGTGGAACTTGACAGAATTAGGCCTGAGAGGCTCCAAGGGGCTATTTTAAATAGACTCATTAAGGTTCATTAGTAATGTTGACAAGACAGTTGCTTGTTCATACAGGACGTTTGGTGAATTAGCAGTAGTGCCCCTTCTTCCAGGCACGTTACTGCCACCTGCCAGAAAAAGGCATATATTCTGATTTAAAAAAAATTATATTATAGGCACTTTACTGCCATCTGCTGGAAAACTATTGCAACAAATAAATACTCTACAATATATCTTAGAACTGTGTCCAGGAGGACTGTGCAGTGCGCAACCTACACAACAGTATGCAGTGACCCTGCCTGCCAGCCTTACTTACTCCAACAGGAAACTGATGCTTTTACCAGGTCTCCATACATTATGGAGTCAGGCAGACCTAGGTTTGAATCCGGCCTCGGCCTTTCTCAGTGTTGTCCTTTAAGGCAAGTGAGTTTATTTCCCTGGGCCTCAGTTTCCCCATCTGTAAAATGACCATAATATTTGTCCCTACCTCACAGGGTGATTGAGACGGGCTCAGTAAACAAGAGAAGATTCTCTCTCAGTGTGGGTTCGGGGGTGTTTTATATAAGAGAGACTGAGGGAGTCCTCAGAAGTGTGAGGCCAGGAGCTGGGGTGCAGAGAGTGTCCAAAGGGCCCAGTTACCTCCTCCTTGGAAAACCTCTCGGCCTGTGTGGTCAGCATCTCCTTGACGCTGCAGAGATAGACATGCAGGTATTGGCACCAGGTATGTGAAGGGGGTTGGGGAAAAGCAACAAGCCCTCATGTCCTCCCCCGCAGACCCCACTCACTAATCGGCCCTGAGCACCCCTTTGCCTTCAGGGTCAAACACTTTGAACGCGTTGAGAATGGTCTCCTCTGGGTCTGCCCCTGAAACAGAAGATGGGGTTGAAATGTGCCACGGATGGCTGGGAACCTCTGTTAAGGAGGAAAGACCCTGCCTTCTTCCTGAGCCCTGAGCCTTGGTGTTTTGAAAGAGTGGGCTGAGAGTCCAGTTACTTCTGAGCAAACCCAAGGTCAAACATGGATCCAGACTTAGAAAGTCTGGGACTCAAATCCTGACTCCAGCATTTGTTAGCTGTGTGGCCACAGGCACGTGGCTTTCTGTCTCTGAGTCTCAGTTCCCTATCTGTAGACTGGGATAAGAATAGACCCTACCTCCTAGATGCGGTGAAGTATGTGGTAATGCATATAATGCATGTAAAGTGCTTAGCATGAGTCTGGACCAGGGTAAGCCTTGGAGCACTGTTAACTGCTGTTTTTACTCCTTCCCCCCTCCCCGATATTAGTCTGCTACCCCCTGCATGTTCTCCTAGCATTTTAATTCATGCCTAAAGATGAAGACACATAAAAACAGACAAGACACGCCCACACAGATACACAAACACAGACGCACATACACAGGTGTATGCATACGGCTGTAGATGCACAGATATTCACATGAGCTTACCCTTAAGTTTCTCCCCGAACATCTGTAGGAACACAGTAAAGTTAATTGGACCTGGAGCCTCCTTGAGCATTTCATCAATTTCCTCATTTTTCACGTTCACACGCCCTAGGGCAGGAAACACACACTCAGCAATTCCGAGCTGGGACAGAAACAGCTATCAGGACACTGGCATTTGCCCTTGTAATCCCACTTCAAGGAATCTAGTCTAGGAATAATCAGAGACAGAGCAGATGGGGCCAAAGAGTCACATGAGAAGATGTTCTCGAAAGTGTTATTTATAATAGCCAGACAATTGGAAGCAACCCAAAGAGGGTTTAGTTATTCTTAAAAGTGTCTTTAGAATCTGGAGCATTTTATACAGGTATTTTAATATTTTACTCAAATGGGAAATGCTCATATTATAAATTAGCCCTTCTCACTTGGAGGTGGGAGAGA